TGAAGAGTTTAGAGGTGCGCTAGCTAGGGGCAGAGGTCAGTTTGGGAGGGGTCAGCCTAGCAGGCCCACATATCCAGCACCACCACCACCTCCTCGGGATGCTCCAGTGCGACCCTATTTCAGCGCTATGCCAGAAATTTCTTACCACCCGCTAGTTCATCAGGGTTCTTCCAACGCCTATTTTAGTGCCATGCCAGAGAGCCATATCGCCCATCAGCCATTCAGGGTTGTTTTAGTAGGTATTCAAGCCATCAAGGTCAGGCTTCGGGACAACAGTCTATGGTACCGAAAGGTTGTTACGAGAGTGGAGATCCGGGTCACATAAAGAGGACCTGCCCCAAACTTCGAGGCAAGGTAGTACAACAGGGTCATCAACCCATAATTGCAGCACCAGCCACCCCACTGCCCAGAGGTGGGGGACAGGCTGGTAGGGGTCGTCCTATAAGTGGAGACCAGGCAATAGGAGGTCAGCAAGCTATAGTTTAGCCAGGCAGAGGCCATCCAGCTGGTGCTCCAGCTAGATTCTATGCTTTCCGGCCAGACCAGATGTAGTGGCCTGAGATGTCATAATCACAGGTATTATTTCTGTTTGCGATAGGGATGATTCGGTATTATTTGATCCAAGGTCTACCTATTCATATGTGTCATCTCTATTTGCTCATTTCCTAGATATTCCTCGTGAGTCTTTGGGTACTGCTATTTATGTGTCCACTCCTGTGGGAATTTCTATGGTTGTGGATCAGATCTACCGGTCCTGGATGGTTACATTCCATGGTTACGAGATTAGAGCGAACCTTTTGTTGCTTGATATGATCAATTTTGAGGTAATCCTGGGCATGGATTGGTTATCCCCATATCACCCCACCCTTGATTGTCATGCCAAGACTGTTACTTTAGCGATGTCAGAGTTGCCGAGATTGGAGTGGAAGGGTTCCTCCATTAGTACGTCCAGTCAGGTTATCTCTTTTCTGAAGGCTCGACATATTGTTGAGAAGGGTTGTTTGGCTTATCTAGCTTATGTTCGAGACACCACCGCAGAGTCTCTGACGCTTGATTCAATGCCAGTAGTCCGGGAGTTTGCCGATGTGTTTCCTTCTAACCTTCCGGGCATGCCGCCAGATTGTGATATTGATTTCTGTATTGATTTGGCTCCAGGTACGCAGCCTATATCGATCCCACCGTATCATTTGGCTCCGAAAGAGCTGAAGGAACAGCTTGAGGAGTTATTAGCAAGGGGATTTGTCAGACCGAGTATATTACCTTGGGTGCACCAGTGTCTTTTGTGAAGAAGAAAGATGGGACTATACGGATGTGCATTGATTACCGCCAGTTGAACAAAGTTACCATAAAAACAAGTACCCATTTCCACGTATCGATGATTTGTTTGACTAGTTGCAGGGTTCTAGGATGTTTTCTAAGATCGACTTGAGATCGGGGTACCATCAGTTGAAGATTCGGGACTCAGATATTCCGAAGACTGCTTTCCGTACTGGATATAGCCATTATGAGTTTCTAGTGATGTCCTTCGGCTTGACTAATGCCCCAGAGGCATTCATGGATTTGATGAATGGGTGTTCAGGCCTTATGTTGATTCTTTTGTTATTTTCTTCGTTGATGACATCTTGATTTACTCACGTAGCCTAGGGGAGCACGAGTATCATTTGAGAGTGGTGCTTAAGACATTGCGAGAACAGAAGCTATATGCTAAGTTCTCCAAGTGTGAGTTTTGGCTAGAGTCTATGGCATTCTTGGGGCATGTTGTATCAGGAAAGGGTAATAAGGTGGATTCCAAGAAGATTGAAGCAGTTCAGAGTTGGCCACGTCCAACTTCGGTGATTGAGATCAGGAGTTTCCTGGGGTTAGCAGGTTATTATCGCTAGTTATTTCCTGGGGTTTGCAAATTAGGATAGGCATTAAAATACACAGGGTCATAGGCCAAACTGGTTTGCACAGTCCCTATAAGAGACTTTTTCCAGTTTTGGTTTCTGCCATCTCTGAGTGCTGCTATAAAGCTTTCAGGTAAGCCTCTTAGAGTGAGTGGCTTGAAGACAACTTGTATTAAGCCTATATGCAAAAATCTATGTGAATCCCTATAAGGGGCTAGATCACTTTCAGATAATAATTTGAATGTAGCATGGTCACTATCTACCGTGAGTGTTTCTTCAGTAGTTTTAACTACTTATTTTAAACCTATTCATTCAAAAGTACCTAATTGGTATATAACCTTAGGTTTAACCATTGGAATAGTCCACTTATTAAGTAGGTCTAATTGTTGGGGAAGCTCATATTCTTCCTTTCTACTGTTTTTAACAGTATTCTTTTTCCTAATGATATTCATTAAGAAACTAAGTGTTAGACTTAGACTCTAGGTTTTCTGATACATGGCTCTGATACCAGGGAGACAACCGGAACGCTCCCGAATAGGGTTCAGGAATTGAATTACAAGAACACCAGTCCTGGCCTAGCCACTAATCTCTAGGGAAACCTTAAACCACGATGCTCTTCACAACCCTTCAATGGCCACCTGCCTAAACGGGTTAACAAGCACCACCGGTTAGCTTGGGACTAACCAATATTTACTGTCGAGACTAGTAACAGCCTGGTCTATATAGTCCTTAACCCAAAACCCCATCGGGTTTGATACAGTAGACTCCTAACTACCATAAACATGAATAGCAGATAACCATCGAGAACCAAGTCTAACACTTACCTGTTTAGCTTGTCATTTAGGCTAACAGTACTTCAGATATGGAAGAGGGAAGGAGAAGAACAGTACCAACAGAGAGACCCTTAGTTGTGGCCAAACGACCTTTTTGATTTTATTTCAAACTTGGAAGAATTATTACAGAAGGGGTTTTTTTACAAGTAGAGAGATAAACTAGAGAGAAGGCAGAGAGTTCTAATGTTGGCTAACGCCTCCCTCTAACTAAAGAAGAGTGATCCTTATATAATGGATCTGTCTACAAACAAACAAAATGAAAAGTAAAAGTGGCCGACAAGATAATTAAAACGTGGCCAAAAGAAAAACTACATTATTAAAATCGGACAAACTACTTTTATAAAAGTAGATTCCTTCCGATAATGGAGGGATCCCTTACTTTATTAAAGTTGTTTCGGGGACCTATTACTTTATAAAAGTCTTCGTCTTTTTACCCCAATAATCCATCAGTGGGGCCTTCTATATCTTTATGCTTTATCTTTTCCTTTGTCGTTTTTCTTGGCAGAAGATGCTTCTGCACTTGCTCAACTTGTTGATAAAGTCTTCAATTTTTGTATCACTAACTTCCTCTGTATCTGATTGATTTTGGGCTTCTCCGGCTAAACACACATCTTCATTTGAAGTACTGCCAATAGAAACCATAGAGATATCATCTCTAATAGTAGTACCAAGATTCTTTGCTAAATCATTTTTTATTTCTTCAAAATATGAAGCAAGGATTTCTTTCTGTGAAACAGATCCCTTCTTCATTTGGAGTCTCTTGCTGATAATTTCCAAAGGACTTAGATCTTCTTCCTCATCCTTTGTATGATCGATCTGTGAATAAGCCTCTATCTTGACCTGTATTTGTTGTATTAACTCTTTACCATATAACTTTCCTTGTTGATTTGGCTGGAGCAATTTGGACCAGAACTTATGATAGAAAATTTTGTTAAGGCAAGGAATGCCTTCACTAGTATTACCGGTCTGTATATCCCATTTCATAATCCAGGGAATAGAAAAGTCAATAAAGAAATACATGGTAGCAATACCATCATAAAAGATATGATCTTTTTGGAGAGAAATAATTTTGGGAGATATATCTACCCATTGAGAATATAATCCTTTGAAGAGAGGGTTTAAAATATCTAATGATGGTCCGTATAACTTCCACCATTTGAAAAAATAATTTGGAATTTGTTGTCCGAATAAATTAGGACAAAGTTTTATAAACTAAGAATGTCTTCTGGTAGGATTTTCATATAAAAAAGTCTTATTAAAACTTTCCACATAATCCCAATAATTGAATATGATCGAAATCTTTTGGTCTAGATGTGTATATTCACGATCTTTGAGTGTGCTGATTCCCCATTCATCAGAAGGTTTCTTCTTAATTATAATCTTCGAAAAACTATAAGTTTTTCTAGTATTGGCAGGATAGAAATGCTGAATATCTGCAGATCCTGTTGTTGATAGTATAATCTCATAATGCATTCTATATTTGTATGCAGGAGTAGCGTATGACGTTGTATCAAAGTGTCTTGNTAGAAATGCTGAATATCTGCAGATCCTGTTGTTGAGAGTATAATCTCATAATGCATTCTGTATTTGTATGCAGGAGTAGCGTATGACGCTGTATCAAAGTATCTTGCCATAATTTGCCAAGGATTATCCTTCCATTTAAGGTCGGATTGTTCCAAAAGAATTATTAACTCTTTGGATTCTTTTTGACTATAAGTCTCAAAATTGTCATTAGCATCCTCTGATATAACTGAGGAGTATGTAGGTACATTAGATGATGACTTACCTTCATCTTTTTTGGATTTTATAAAATCCATAAATTCCTTATATAAAGGATGTTCGGTATTACCTTCTGTAACATTAGCGGCTATAAGCCTTTGATTTCCTATTTGGGCAAGAATATTATTCTTTCTGCTATTAGTAGCTGCCCTTCCTCTTCCTCATTGCTGAGGAGGCTTATATGTAGGTCTCATAATCTGTAGACAAAGTAGTAGAACTTATTAGTTCAGGTATTCTCTAGTAAAAAAATCAGGAAGGGTATTATCAGACCTTTTTTGTATATAATTTCAAAATCAAAAGGGGCTAAAAAAGCTTTCCACCTTGCAAACATTTGTTTGGAAATAACATGCTTGAAATCTTTATTAAAGATAAATTTAGCAGCCTGACAATCAGTTTTAATAATGAATTTTTGATTATATAAGTCCGTCTGAAATTTCATCACACATTTAACAATAGCAAGAATTTCGTTAGCTACAGTTGCATAATTTTTTTGGGAGTTATTTCATTTACCAGAATAAAATTGAACAAGGTATTCCTGTTTATCTACAGGGGAACATTGTTTTAGTATTCCGCCATAACCAATATCAGAGGCATCAGTTTCCACAACTTTTGCCCAAGTAGGATTGGCGAGAGTTAAACAGGGGAGGTTATTAACCTTCTGCTTAATTCTTTTGACTGCTTCAGTATGACTGTCAGTGCAAGCTTTAGGATTCTTCTTTAATCTTTCATAAAGAAGAGCAGTGTCTTTAGCAAGGTCCTTTATAAAAGGAGAAATATAATTTAAGCTTCCTAAAAATCTTTGAAGCTGAGTTTTATCAGTAATAATATCGGGGAATTTGGATGCAAATTCAATACTTCTATTAATGGGGATAATCCTACCCTTCTCAATGTTATGACCCAAAAATCTAACATAAGTTTGGAAAATCCTCATTTTCGGTTTTGATATAACTAAACCATTTTGTATAATAATCTTTTTAAATAAATCAAGATGTTTGAAATGAGATTCTATATTTTTTGAAAATACTAGAATATGATCAATATAAACAATTATGAAATCCGTATAAGGAAGGAAAATATCATTCATAATTTTTTGAAATTCTGAAGGTGCATTTTTTAAACTAAAGGGCATAACATCCCATTCATACTGACCCATTGGTACATTAAAAGCAGTCTTATATCTATCTGATTCAGATATCTGGATTTGCCAATAACCTGATTTTACATCAAATTTTGAAACTATAATGGCCTCATGCAATCTATCAAGTAAATCTTTTTTATTAGGAATGGGATATCTAATCCATTTTAAAACCTTATTAAGGGGCTTATAATTAATGACTAATCTAGGAACTCCTCGTTCCTGTTCCACATGTTTATTAACATAAAAAGTAGTGCAAGACCATTTGGACTTTGATGCTCTAATTAAACCCTTCTGCTTTAAGGAATTAATTTC